TAGTACAGTAGAGTATGAGATAATGGAATCAAAGCAACGAGGGGACGGAGAGGTCACAGATCTAGATGAATTATTATAAATAAAAGTGATGAAATCAATAAAATCACTTTCAAATAACGCTTTGATGCTTATTTGTAAATACAGAACCTTAACTTAATACTTTCTAACTTTGCTGGTTTATACTGTGCTTGGTTTGAACTGTACTGGCTTGAAAATACTAACTACTGATTTGCATCGAAGCTTTTTTTTGAAAGTGATCTCATTTTTTCACAATTTTTTTTGTTTTTACCCCTCTCCCAACTTAGTTTTTTTTATAGCAACTTTTGAAATTTAATTGGTAACGTATATATTTTATTAACTTTTTAAGTTGAGAATAATATACTAAGAATTTTGGCTGGTCGATAACCAGTTTCGGATAACTATTTTTGAAGTTGTTGAAGTTTCAAAATTAGGACAGGAGGAAAGGTGGAGTGTAGTATTATTTTTATCTGCGCGCATTTCCCAACCGCATTTCCCCTCCCATCTAACTTTAAAACCCTTATAACTTTAAAATAAGTTATACAAAACTGGTTATCGACCTGTCAACATTTTTAGTACATTATTTTCAATTAAAAAAATTAATCAAATATATACGTTACCATTTAAGTATCAAAAGTTGCTATCAAAAAAACTAAGTTGGGAGAGGCGTATAAACAAAAAAAATTGTGAAAAATTGAGATCACATTGTACAAAAACAATATGAAAAAACAAACTTTAATTTCTTTATAAACCCTATGAGATATTGAATGGCTCATAATAAAAAAAATCACCCTGTATATCTTAATTTGAACATAGTAACAAAGTAATGAAATATTTTATACAAAATTAGAGTTACAAGTTGATAAACTAAAAATTTAAAATTAGCACGAAGCAGATTATCTAATAATAGATAATTTAAACAATCAAGCGTGAATCTATCGAAAAAAAAAAGAATTTGTGATTTATAGAGTTGCTACTTGAAGGAATTGGTCAAGTATTAAAAAAGTTACAGTGTATATAAATTAAAAAAACCACACATCAGAGTAAAACCAATACCTTCTCGCTTTGCATCGAAGCTAAAACATTTTTCTGGATTTTTGTGTAAAAGACATCAAAAAAGGTATGTGTGTATATGTAGAAACTTTAAATGAGATAAAAACCATCTAACAAAAGGGCGAATACGAATTGCCTCTATTTTTTTTGTTGCCTCCCATGCCAGATAGTTAATATTTTTTTTTATCTTAGTTGCCTCCTAGGGAAATCCGGATTTCCATGTCAAGTGTACAATCGACTAGTGGTCGGAGTGGGGGTAACTCACTGACCTAGGTTCGATGGCATACGATAACATGTCTATGATGGTCGGAGGGGAGAGGTATGTCACTAACCTATGTCAAAAGTGCATGCTATAACATGGTCGGCGGGGTTGGAGGGGAAGGGAGAGTCACTGACCTGCGTCAAAAGTGCAGGCCCATTCTGTCTAGAATGGAATGTGCTGATGTCATCAAATGCATCAAATTTTGATGACGTACGCCCAATCCATTGTAGACAGAACCGGCATTTTACTCTCTTCTCATATCATCACATATTTTTAACATTAATTACATAAAGGCAATTTCTGAAAACCCTTCTTGTAACACTGTCGACTGTAACCATGTTTTAATTCATGAGTTACACAAGTCTCATGACAGGAAATGATCTTTCAGTCGTTGCACAACTTATTGTCCAAGTAAATGCAACACCAAGCAGCTTACATTTGAATACAGTTGAATTTCAATTAGTGTCTTTAATCACTACATTTTGTTTGTTTATCGTTTTCTTTTTAATATTAAAAATATTAAACATTTTTTGACAAACATGTACAAACAAAAAAAATTAAAATAACCATATACTTGTAAACGCAACCACATGGGAAAAGTTACGTTTAACAACGTTCTAAATTATAACTATTTAATTTTTCAAATGACAACATTTTATAATTTAACTAATATATAAGTCAACAAGGAATATTTTAGGGAGGACTAAATTTTGGTCAGGAGACTAAGTCCCCCTTACTAGTCACGCCAGTATATGACCTAAATTTTACCATGGAGTTAAATGTTTCTGCATGTGTGGACTTCTATAGTAACATATGGATATTACTCTGGCAATAACCTCTCCATCCAAGTTCAATATACAGTTGAAATTAACAACGATAACATAACTAGTGAATTATCGATGTAAAATACAGGTGTTATTGTTGTTCTAAATTAATTTATCGACCTTATAGTCAAAAATGTGAAGTAAAGTAAAGTACATAGGTAATACAGTAATTTATTACATCCCTTTAAAATATTTTTTGGTTAATACATAATATTTAAAATTTATTTTAATTAATTCGTTTTAAGGTCCCTGGATACCGTCCATTTTTAAGGAGTTTTGTATAGGCAATATTTAAGAAAAAAGTGATTTTAATTAATTTCGACCATGTCAATTAATTTACTGGTTAATTTGTATAAGCTTCATGGTAATATTTTTAATTTAAATCATTTTGTCTATGAGTAAAAGCCACTTTAGTTAATATAGTAGTACATTTTTTGTCTATCGCACAGGCTGAACCAGCGACCCGATAAGTAATCTAAAAACAGAGTTGAATTTGTCATGAAGTTTACTTGAGATCGGTCAGCGTACTTTTTTGATATCTTATTCCTACTACGCATAAAACACGTTTGAACATTTGATAACATTTCAAATTTTAAAATAAAATTTGGAAAAGGTTAAAATAAAAAATTGGAAAAAATACTCTGACCGATCTCAAGTTAACTTCATGACGAATTCATATCTGTTTTTAGATTGCTTATCGAATCACTGGTTCGGCCTGTGCGATGGACAAAAAATGATGTGTTTTGGCTGAAAAAAACGGTCGGTATCCAGGGGCCTTAACTTAAAATCGGCTGACATATTATTGTATATTAAACTTATTAACGATCCGCGACAACCCTAACGCGATGTGATCATTGAATTTTAGTTTTAACGTGGTCATTTTTCCGGTTAGTGTTTGTACTCTGCTGGTTGTTGTGCTATCTATTGTTTGCCTTTTGTTTGGTCTTTGAAAAATTGCTCAACATTGATGTCGTCGTACGGAATGAAAATGACAGAGTTTAAAATCGTATGTATCAATTCGTAATTGGCAGAGGCGCCCAATTTTTCTAAATGATTGACGAAAATTTTAGCCCGGATGAAATTGTATTCGAGAGCCGACTTCGGGGTTACTTTTTTTTTCTTATACTCGGTAGATACGCCTATGGACTCGGCGAACTTCATCAGTTGGACGACTTTCGAACTGAACGCCTGTTCGTCGCCGACCACGTGTTCGCTGGTCGCGTCCAAACCTTGCAAGTTTAGCGAAAGGCCGACCAGTAGATTTTTGATCTTAGATTTTCCTTTTTCGGCAATGCAGTTCCACGAGTCGGCAACCAGACATTCGATTACGTCGTGCAGCACACTGTCGCCTAGGTTCACCACTCGGACGAACTCGTTGATGATCTTCACAATGGGTTTGTTGCTTTTGTCGACGTTGCTTTTAATGAAAAAATTTTCCAATCGATTGTGTTTTTTTTCGAATTTTTCCCCCATCAACTCCACGTGCGTCCACACCATCCGCAACAGGATCACCGTCAGCATGTCCTTGACCAGCGCGTGGTATTTCCTCAGGTCTTTCATGCCGTCGTACATTACCATCGGCGTGCCGACCACGTCGCGGTACGCGTCCCTGACCGTCCGCTTGGTATCTCCCCAATTGATGTACGGGTCGTACAGGTTCATCAGATTGTCCAAGTTGTCTTTGCCCATCACCAGGTTGGTCAAGAACAGACGGTCTAGCTTGTACGAACCGCTGTTTTCGGTAAACGCGGCCAACGTCAGGTTTTTGTCCATGACCTGCGCCAACTGTTGCCGGTAGTCGTGCAGCAACTCCATCGTCTCGCGGTAGTTGTCGACGGTGAACCGCACGGTTTTGAACCGGTCGAAAAGCTCAGAACCCGAACCGGTAACTTGAAACCGGTTCGGCACGCATTCGGCGGTGTTCGCCTCCAGTTGTTTGGCCACGTTCTCGTGTATGTCGGACAGGTTGAACAGAATTTGTTTGTCACCCCGGCCGTCGTTTTGCCGGTAGTAATCGCAAAACGACCGGATTTTCGCCGTGTACATGTAGAACATCCACAAGTCGTACTCGCCGGCCAATTGCAGGTTGCCGTACGCGGTGATCATGGCCAAAGCGTCCGGCTCCAACGACTCGATCGTGTCGATCGTCATGCCGACCCTGTCGTGGGCGTGAAGTTTCAACAGGTACCTTGTGATTTCCATAAAAGACAGACCGACCAATTTGAAAAAGCACCTCAGCGACTCTGTATCCTCGGCTATGTACTGCTCGAGCAGATCTTTGGACAAGTCGTCCGTCTTCACGCCGAATTGGATCGGTCGTTTCGCGTATCCCGTCTCGATTGCCAATAGTTTCTCATATAACTTGACCCGATTGATTTTGTCCGCGTTTTGTGACTTCACGTCGGCCACTCTAGCCAGTAATGCCGAACAGACGGCAACTCTGAGCAATAGCTGTTGGCAATTGATCATTTCGATAGGTGCAACAAGTCTAGATTGAACCGAACAATTATTTTACTTCAATACAACAGTAACGTATGGAACGCGAAAATACGACGTTACGGTTTATATTTGTTGTTTTTTTTTTTTTACTGAACAGTAAATTTTAAGAAAAAAATACTAAGTAAACAACAAAATCGCACGGAGCCATAACAATATTATTGTACTGTTTATTTGTGAACCGTTGTGTTGCATCGTTGCAGAACTTTGGCGTATAAAAGCTGTATAAGCCAGTGTTTCAAAAGACACATAATTAGCCTTTATTGAAAAATATTGCGGCTCGACAATTGCAACAGGTGTTAGAGTTGAAATCCAACTTTAATTCAATTTATTGTGATTTTGTTTTAAAACCGATTTTTTGAAATTTATTTCGACCTAATCTGCGGGTACTTTTTTAATTCCTTCAGATGACCGTGCGTTGGTACACCGCCTGTCTTATTTTATTCCGCCATGCGCCTGCCCTGACCCTATTTTAGTTTATTTACTTTGAATATTTTACTGCAATAGGCATTTGAAAACAATGTGTTTGAGTTGTGCTATATTTTCAGTGAAACGACGTTCTAAAGCTCATAAATAGTATTTTACTGTACCACAATATTACAATATAATCGTATCAATACAAAACGTTGAAATTTAAGAATGATAGTTGTAACTATTTAAGTTACAAGTGTGCATCTAAAACAATGCAAATATCTTCCACCAAAAGTCAGCAAAAATATGTTCGTGACTGCGTAGTTTACTCGAACAACACGGTAAGCAAATGGATTTTTTTTTACCATACTTACCTGCGTGGAAATTTTATTTAAAAAATACATTTATCGATCAGTATAGGATCAGTAAAAGGTGTTTTATTATTTTTCTAATGCGTTATCTTATATACAAAGTAAACCGCGATTGTACAACGAGTGTATTTAAACTTTATTTATACTTTAAGTATATTTTAACTTAAACATAACTTTAATCACAAAATAAATATTTCAGTGAGTTTGTTGGGCCAAAAAAAAAAATGGTAGTTTTAGCGGTTTTCATTTATTTTTCGATGGGTTTAAGCCTAGTCTCGACCGCGAGTAGCTTACGACACTCATCGCCCGATCGTCATAAACAATTACAACGCGAAAGAATGGTGTCGTCTTGTCTGAATTTGCAGCAGCTGGCCACCGGCTACGAGAAGGGTTGGACGCAGGCCGAAACGAAGCTGATGTTGGACAACGTACCCGATTCCGTCCTGATTTCCGTGTTGCAAAGCCGGTACGAACGCGTCAAGTGCGGGTACGTGTTCAACACCGCGTGTCACGCGTACATGATCGACGTGCTGATGGCCGTCGAAGCCGCCGACTTGCCGGCGTCGGTGGGTCCGCGCTACGAAGAGTCCGTTCGGCTGATGATAGTCACGCTGTACAACGGGGGCGTCCGGCGTATGGACGGTCTGTGGATGATGTACTTGCACTTGCACCGGATGAACGGATCGACCGCCCGATTCGCCAAGGCCAACGCGTTCGTGTTGCAAAAGTTGGAACAACTGGCCAAACGGTCCAAGTGCGATGCGCTCAACGAGTTCAACGCGTTTAACCGCAACTCGGCGTGTCGCCGGAAGTTGAACGACGCCGCCGGACGACCGGAAGCGATCGCCCGGCTAATTGAGGAAAACGCGGACACTGTCTCCCAGATAATAGCCGTCAACCAAACCATCGGTCTGGACACCACCGACGCCGACTACTTCCGGGCGGACGCGTTGTATTTCAACCACGTGTTGGCCGACGAAGAAGTTCTGGACGAGCTTTTGGGGGCTTACGACGTGCAAGTGAACCGCACGGACATCAAGGCCGCACTGGCGAGTCGCTACGAGAAAGCGCGTCAGTTGGACTTGTCCGTCGAAGGGACGGCGCCGCTAGAAGCGTACCAACTGGCCGTGGTCGATACGCTGAAAATGATCTTGCTCCGGATGGTGTGGAAATACGTTATGCTGTTAAACGTCAAGACAAGCCAGTTGGACTTTATTGGCGGTCGGGTTTTTTCCAAGCCGAAAGACTACAATAATGTCGTTATACTACAAACGCTCGACTGGTTTGCGAATTATTTCGGCTTACAGCACGACAGACAATTCCTGAACGTGTACAAACGTCTGTCTAGACAGGACACGGACAGTGCCGTCAAAGCGTTACTCGAAGAACTAACGCGCATCTCGTCAACGCTTGCGTGCACGGTAACGGAAAAGCCCCAATTGGGCAGTACCGTTTTCGACAGTAACCAAATGCCAGTCACGAGCTACCCGTTAATCGGCGCTAAACTGTACCAGTCGGTCATTGACACGGACGAAGACATCTCCAAGTGTGAAAACCCGTTTTCCAAGACATTTCGAAACATCCTGGACGTTTGCCTTAAACATAAAATCACTATTCATAAAATATTAAACCACATTAAGCCTTTATCCGAAATCGACGAAAAAGATTTGATTTCGATCAGTCTTTACGTTTTTCAGCATCACGTGCGAGGCATGTTCAAAGATATTCATTTTGAAATGATTAGATCGTTTCAAATATTCTCCGAAGTCGATTATCAAAGCGATGAAAATATATCTCAGTTGGAACCAGAAATAAAACAGTCAGAAGAAGAAATTTTCAAGGAAATGTTTGATAGAGCCTTATGGAACGAGTAACTTTTCCTAATTAAGTATTGTGTTCGACCAATTAATTTTTCAAGTCTTCATACAACTAATCTTTACAAAAATTGTTTCAATAATGTTAAAAATTCAGTCAACGTGCTGCTATTTATAAATAAAATTGTTATTGAAGTCAATAAGATTAAACTTTAAAACATTATTTTCTATATCTGTTAAATAAATAAATATAAACACAACATGGATTTTTTTACCAAAATGGTTATAACTCAACAAATATAAACATTGTTTATGCATTACACATTTTATCATAAAAACCAATACAAATTAACTTGAAAATAAGTTGACATGATAGAATTTTATTAGAGGTATAAAAGCTGTCTATTTTTTTGACGTTTTTGACCAAAAAGCTTGACAAAATTTCTGACTTCTTAGGATGGTCCGATTTTATTTCAATAATAATATATGAGTACTTTGGCTACTTTACTGAGCTATGACGGAAACTGATTTTTGATTTATTTTATGTAAAAAAATTGTTTTTTAATATTGAAAAATTGGCAAATTTAATTTATTTGATTACAAGGAACTGATTTTTTTTAAAGAAAATTTTGTTTCTTGCATATCCTAGTAGAGTAGTCAAATATTTCAAATCTCTTTAGAAAATTAATATCTGATTATTCTAAGTAAGCGTAATTTTATCAGGATTTTAGGCCTAAAATAAACTAAAATGGCTTAGAAAAAATTATACAATTTAATAATTAACCGGAAAATTAATCGACATGGTAAAAAAAATTTTAAAAACCAATTTTTTTAAAAAATATTGCCTATATTAAACTCCTTAAAAACAACCAGCTTCCAATCTCGTCAAGTAGGATTGCCTAACTCTTTTTTTGTTTGTACTGTATAATAAGTATTGTCATGATAAATTATAATATGTAATGAAAACTTCTAAATGCAAAAAGAGTAGTATGAATGTGATTGGTTGTTTAAAATACAAATGATTAAAATCATAGCAAATCGATTTCTACAAATTTAAATACTATATTTTAACTTGCATTTTGCAACAAATATTTTTTTGGTTTTCAGTAGTAACAGTTAGTTTACTCATTTGGTTTGGACATTTTTATAAGAAAACATTGTGTTATTGTGTATAACATCTTTCATCGAAAACAATACGCCTTCAAGAAGTAGTTCAACGGCGTTACATATTGGCAATAGTACTACACCAACGCAAAATATTTACACAGCGGTAGGAAAACTAATGCCACCATACGTGCGTGAATCCTATAATATTTGATTAGATACTATATACCATTAAACAGTCGTCGTATTGGCCTGAATGAAACTATGTATTTATTTGTTTAAACGACTAGTAGATACAATATTGAATGTATGTATAAACTAGAGCGGAAAAAAAAAGAAAGAACATTTAATTAACACAGCGATGAAATAATTTTTTTCCTATACTTTTAGATACACAACTTCAATACTTAGAAAATCTTTGCCTTCAACCTTTAAACGTAAAACAAGTTTTTTTTTTAAGGGAACATATGTTTTTAATTTTTATCAATCTGCTAGTTTTAGAATCAACCCCCTTTCCCTCATTCCGGACTACATTTTGGCGGCATCTTAGTTTTCGGGTAGAAGGTAAAAAGAAATTTTGTTTACAGTATATGTGTGTGTGTTTCAAACATTTCGTATACAAAAGTGCTTATACAGCGCATAAGGAAATGATATAATGATGTTAGTTTAGAGTGCTCCATATGTCAATAAGTCACTATGTGTAATGTGACAATAAGTATTATGTATTTTAATTATTTACCTAAAACGATGAGTTATGGTTTTGTTTTTCTGAACATTAAACAAATACAACATAAGCGTGGCCCAGTTACGCAGTTATGGTTACTTACTCGAAAATTATAGAAGCAAATAAAACCCGTATTAATTTATACCATAATTTGATTTTTTTTTTTTAATTTTTACACTTGCTTAAATTAATAATTAAAAGACGATTTGCAGTATTAACGTTATAATAATAGTGTTTTTACAACCGGGTTTTATTATGTATTTGTGCAATGTCTTTAAACTTCTATGGGTTTTACTTGGGTGGTTTTTTGGAAGTTTACCAGTGGCAGCTACGGGAAATGAAGAACTAATAAGTAAGTATTTTGAAGTTTATGAAATTGAAAATGGTTATGGTAAGGAAAATTTAAAAAGGAGTAATTATAACGCCGCATCGAATACAAGTCTAATACAACGGATCGAGGAAGAAAAGAAAAACGTTAGATGTGGATTCACATTAATAGCCTTGTCGTATATGATGCTATCTAAAAATCTACTGACTTGGAACGACGACGACGAGATCAACAAAAACAATGTAGTCGACGCAACGAACGAGATCGAATCGTTTAACCAGCATGCATTAAATATGAACATCATACTCTCCAATATTGGATTCGAGAAATCTATGTACGATATGTTGTTGTTTTACATTTACACTTGTCAAATTCGGTCCTTTGTAACTTACATCAACAACAACAATGGCAAAAACTATCAACAGACCCTGGTGAAATTGTATGATATTCATTATAGTGTAATGGCTAATCTAGAAACATACGCAGACTTTTGTGATAAGAAAAATAAACTGTTTATATCTAGCGAGACGTGTCCAACTTATAAAAGCTATATATCGATAAAAAAATCGAATACACCTGAGTGTGTTCCAGGAGTAATTGAGGAATACAAGAAAGATGCCAACAAACTATATAATAACAATGCAGCGCTAAAAATCGGACAAGAACACGAACAGAACCTTACGATTGACCGTATGTACTTGAACTATGTTGGCTTAAAAGACAATGTTTTGAAAGATTTACAAACTAAATACGATTCTAATATCAATTGGGGTAACGCGACCGATATACATCACACACGATGTACTGATCTGAAAGAAAATCCTGCACTTGTGTATGATAGATTGGACGGTTTTCAAAATTACCATTCACAGTTTAAAGATATGTTAAAAGTACTTATTTTACGCTTCATATGGTCACACATATTAATATTAGAGAAATCATATGGAAACGTATCAAACGAGACGATAGCTGTTAGTGCACTGGCAATATCGAAAGCAAACAATCAACTAGTAAAAATATTAAAACCTCTAATTAATTATTTAGGACTACAAGATGACAAAGGTTTAGGCGGTATATTGCATACACTATTAAATGATTCTAATTCTTGTTTTCATAATGGTATAGGTACAACTTTAATAGAGAATGATCTAGATTCTATTGCACCACAATTCAAAAATATTAATGCTAAAAAAAATGTTCTAATAAGTGAAAATGAACTTCAAAAGAAATATGACGAGTTAATAAAATTTGCTAATACAAAGGGATTACCATTTAAATATAGTTCAAAACCCATTGAGAACCTAAACCGACTTAACTATAATTACACTCGTGCTTTTATATTTATGAATCATATACGTGCCATTTTACAAGGAGTAGACTTTAGATTAATGGAATCACTTTTTCATTCCTCGAAAAAGTTAAAGCACAGTAATCCAAAAACATTCGAGTTGGCCATCAATACAAAATGGTTCGAGCGAAATGTCGACGATAAGATCAACACAGAATCATCAACATCAGACGAAACTCATGAAGACGATGCTAAAGAGGTTGATCAGAAGGGTATAATATCATCAATGATGAATTCAAATGAAGACATGAAAGAGCACGAAACCAAAAATCTAGAACAACAACATGGTCAAAATAAGCATTCCGTCCGATTAGAAAAAACGAAATCATTAGAACCAGTTATTGATGTAGGAAGACACCAGATACCTATACCAGAAGATGTTGTTCTAAAAAATGTCTTGAATGACCCGTACTTGGATGATTCAATAGTACATACGAAAACAGAAATAAATAATAGTAATAATGGCGCAAATGAAAACGGAAAAAGCAAAATTTCAAAAGAGAATGTTAAAGTAGATGAGAAAATGAATATTTCAAGTACTGAAGCTAAAACACAAAAAATTAAGTCATCCAACGAAGAAAACCATTCGACAAATAATGTACCAATAGAGCGTAATATACAAAATAGATCTTTTAAAAACTCAGATGAAAACAGTCCTGTTAACTACACAGAACCACTGGAGACGACTAAAAAGAAACTAACAAACAAGGAAGATCTGCAAAAAAAAAATATTGTAGAAAACCCCAAAAAAGTGAAGAAAAATGGTACTCATGTGAATCAGAAAATGAAAGTACAGAAAGAAATATACCTAAACAGGACACACATGCAATTAAGGATATGACTGCATCAAATAGTGACCTTAAATCAAAAACAATTAGCACTACCGATGAGGAAAATTCTACGACAAATACAGAACCAATAAAAAGTAATATGAAAACCGAGTCATTAAAAAATTCAGATAAAGGTTTAGATAGTCCAGATGTTTACAAAACAACAATAGAAACGACTCTAAAAAACCCAACAAAAAAAAATGATTTGCTAACTGAAAATATTGCGGAGAAAAACCAATCAAGTGAAGAAAGTAGGTGTACGAGTAAATATGAAAATGAAACTACAGAAATGGAAACATCATTAGAAAATAAAAAGGCAGATGAGGAAATGATTACTTCAAGTACTGTCTCTAAATTACAAACAGATAAGTCAAACAAAGAATTGGAAAATTCAACAAATACTGGACCAAGAAATCGTAACATTGAAAAAGGATCATTAAAAAGTTGGATAACGGAATACACAATTCTGATAATAACTCAATTCCAATAAACACGACTGAGAAAGACCTACCAAACAATAAAGTCTTGCAATCTGAAAATATTTTAGAGAACCACCATTCAAGTAACGACAGTAGGGATGCAAGTAAATCAGAAAATAAGAGCTCAGAAAATGAATTATCATTAGCGAATAAAAGGGCAGATGAGGAAATGGTTACTTCAAGTACTGTCCCTAAATCACAAACACATATTTCAGAGAAAGAAGTTAGAAGTTCAACAAATACTGGATCAAAAACTCAAAACATTGAAAACAGATCATTTAAAAGTTCGGATAAAGCGGTAAACAATTCTGATCATTACTCTATTCCAATAAACACGACTGAGAAAGAACTACCAAACAATAAAGTCTTGCAATCTGAAAATATTTTAGAAAACCACCATTCAAGTATAGACAATAGTGATGCAACTAAATCAGAAAATAAGAGCACAGAAAGTGATTTATCATTAGAGAATAAAAAGGAAGATGAGGAAATGGTTACTTCAAGTACTGACCCTAAATTACAAACAAATATGTCAAACAAAGAATTGGAAAATTCAACAAATACAGAGCCAAGAAATCATAACATTGAAAACAGGTCATTTAAAAATTCGGATAAAGCGGTAAACAATTCTGATCATTACTCTATTCCAATAAACACGACTGAGAAAGAACTACCAAACAATAAAGTCTTGCAATCTGAAAATATTTTAGAAAACCACCATTCAAGTATAGACAATAGTGATGCAACTAAATCAGAAAATAAGAGCACAGAAAGTGATTTATCATTAGAGAATAAAAAGGAAGATGAGGAAATGGTTACTTCAAGTACTGACCCTAAATTACAAACAAATATGTCAAACAAAGAATTGGAAAATTCAACAAATACAGAGCCAAGAAATCATAACATTGAAAACAGGTCATTTAAAAGTTCGGATAAAGCGGTAAACAATTCTGATCATTACTCTATTCCAATAAACACGACTGAGAAAGAACTACCAAACAATAAAGTCTTGCAATCTGAAAATATTTTAGAAAACCACCATTCAAGTATAGACAGTAGTGATGCAACTAAATCAGAAAATAAGAGCACAGAAAGTGATTTATCATTAGAGAATAAAAAGGAAGATGAGGAAATGGTTACTTCAAGTACTGACCCTAAATTACAAACAAATATGTCAAACAAAGAATTGGAAAATTCAACAAATACAGAGCCAAGAAATCATAACATTGAAAACAGGTCATTTAAAAATTCGGATAAAGCGGTAAACAATTCTGATCATTACTCTATTCCAATAAACACGACTGAGAAAGACCTACCAAACAATAAAGTCTTGCAATCTGAAAATATTTTAGAAAACCACCATTCAAGTATAGACAATAGTGATGCAACTAAATCAGAAAATAAGAGCACAGAAAGTGATTTATCATTAGATAATAAAAAGGGAGATGAGGAAATGGTTACTTCAAGTACTGTCCCTAAATTACAAACACATATGTCAAACAAAGAATTGGAAAATTCAACAAATACAGAGCCAAGAAATCATAACATTGAAAACAGGTCATTTAAAAATTCGGATAAAGCGGTAAACAATTCTGATCATTACTCTATTCCAATAAACACGACTGAGAAAGAACTACCAAACAATAAAGTCTTGCAATCTGAAAATATTTTAGAAAACCACCATTCAAGTATAGACAGTAGTGATGCAAGTAAATCAGAAAATAAGAGCACAGAAAGTGATTTATCATTAGATAATAAAAAGGGAGATGAGGAAATGGTTACTTCAAGTACTGTCCCTAAATTACAAACACATATGTCAAACAAAGAATTGGAAAATTCAACAAATACAGAGCCAAGAAATCATAACATTGAAAACAGATCATTTAAAAATTCGGATAAAGCGGTAAACAATTCTGATCATTACTCTATTCCAATAAACACGACTGAGAAAGAACTACCAAACAATAAAGTCATGCAATCTGAAAATATTTTAGAAAACCACCATTCAAGTATAGACAGTAGTGATGCAAGTAAATCAGAAAATAAGAGCTCAGAAAGTGAATTATCATTAGAGAATGAAAGGGCAGATGAGGAAATGGTTACTTCAAGTACTGACCCTAAATTACAAACAAATATGTCAAACAAAGAATTGGAAAATTCAACAAATACAGAGCCAAGAAATCATAACATTGAAAACAGGTCATTTAAAAGTTCGGATAAAGCGGTAAACAATTCTGATCATTACTCTATTCCAATAAACACGACTGAGAAAGACCTACCAAACAATAAAGTCTTGCAATCTGAAAATATTTTAGAAAACCACCATTCAAGTATAGACAATAGTGATGCAAGTAAATCAGAAAATAAGAGCACAGAAAGTGATTTATCATTAGATAATAAAAAGGGAGATGAGGAAATGGTTACTTCAAGTACTGTCCCTAAATTACAAACACATATGTCAAACAAAGAATTGGAAAATTCAACAAATACAGAGCCAAGAAATCATAACATTGAAAACAGGTCATTTAAAAGTTCGGATAAAGCGGTAAACAATTCTGATCATTACTCTATTCCAATAAACACGACTGAGAAAGAACTACCAAACAATAAAGTCTTGCAATCTGAAAATATTTTAGAAAACCACCATTCAAGTATAGACAATAGTGATGCAAGTAAATCAGAAAATAAGAGCACAGAAAGTGATTTATCATTAGAGAATAAAAGGGAGATGAGGAAATGGTTACTTCAAGTACTGACCCTAAATTACAAACAAATATGTCAAACAAAGAATTGGAAAATTCAACAAATACAGAGCCAAGAAATCATAACATTGAAAACAGGTCATTTAAAAGTTCGGATAAAGCGGTAAACAATTCTGATCATTACTCTATTCCAATAAACACGACTGAGAAAGAACTACCAAACAATAAAGTCTTGCAATCTGAAAATATTTTAGAAAACCACCATTCAAGTATAGACAATAGTGATGCAACTAAATCAGAAAATAAGAGCACAGAAAGTGATTTATCATTAGAGAATAAAAAGGAAGATGAGAAAATGGTTACTTCAAGTACTGACCCTAAATTACAAACAAATATGTCAAACAAAGAATTGGAAAATTCAACAAATACAGAGCCAAGAAATCATAACATTGAAAACAGGTCATTTAAAAATTCGGATAAAGCGGTAAACAATTCTGATCATTACTCTATTCCAATAAACACGACTGAGAAAGAACTACCAAACAATAAAGTCTTGCAATCTGAAAATATTTTAGAAAACCACCATTCAAGTATAGACAATAGTGATGCAACTAAATCAGAAAATAAGAGCACAGAAAGTGATTTATCATTAGAGAATAAAAAGGAAGATGAGAAAATGGTTACTTCAAGTACTGACCCTAAATTACAAACAAATATGTCAAACAAAGAATTGGAAAATTCAACAAATACAGAGCCAAGAAATCATAACATTGAAAACAGGTCATTTAAAAATTCGGATAAAGCGGTAAACAATTCTGATCATTACTCTATTCCAATAAACACGACTGAGAAAGAACTACCAAACAATAAAGTCATGCAATCTGAAAATATTTTAGAAAACCACCATTCAAGTATAGACAGTAGTGATGCAACTAAATCAGAAAATAAGAGCACAGAAAGTGATTTATCATTAGAGAATAAAAAGGAAGATGAGAAAATGGTTACTTCAAGTACTGACCCTAAATTACAAACAAATATGTCAAACAATGAATTGGAAAATTCAACAAATACAGAGCCAAGAAATCATAACATTGAAAACAGGTCATTTAAAAATTCGGATAAAGCGGTAAACAATTCTGATCATTACTCTATTCCAATAAACACGACTGAGAAAGAACTACCAAACAATAAAGTCTTGCAATCTGAAAATATTTTAGAAAACCACCATTCAAGTATAGACAGTAGTGATGCAACTAAATCAGAAAATAAGAGCACAGAAAGTGATTTATCATTAGAGAATAAAAAGGAAGATGAGGAAATGGTTACTTCAAGTACTGTCCCTAAATCACAAACACATATTTCAGACAAAGAATTGGAAAATTCAACAAATACAGAACCAAAAACTCATAACATTGAAAACAGGTCATTTAAAAGTTCGGATAAAGCGGTAAACAATTCTGATCATTACTCTATTCCAATAAACACGACTGAGAAAGAACTACCAAACAATAACGTCTTGCAATCTGAAAATATTTTAGAAAACCACCATTCAAGTATAGACAATAGTGATGCAAGTAAATCAGAAAATAAGAGCACAGAAAGTGATTTATCATTAGAGAATAAACAGGGAGATGAGGAAATGGTTACTTCAAGTACTGACCCTAAATTACAAACAAATATGTCAAACAAAGAATTGGAAAATCCAACAAATACAGAGCCAAGAAATCATAACATTGAAAACAGGTCATTTAAAAATTCGGATAAAGCGGTAAACAATTCTGATCATTACTCTATTCCAATAAACACGACTGAGAAAGAACTACCAAACAATAAAGTCTTGCAATCTGAAAATATTTTAGAAAACCACCATTCAAGTATAGACAATAGTGATGCAACTAAATCAGAAAATAAGAGCACAGAAAGTGATTTATCATTAGAGAATAAAAAGGAAGATGAGAAAATGGTTACTTCAAGTACTGACCCTAAATTACAAACAAATATGTCAAACAAAGAATTGGAAAATTCAACAAATACAGAGCCAAGAAATCATAACATTGAAAACAGGTCATTTAAAAATTCGGATAAAGCGGTAAACAATTCTGATCATTACTCTATTCCAATAAACACGACTGAGAAAGAACTACCAAACAATAAAGTCATGCAATCTGAAAATATTTTAGAAAACCACCATTCAAGTATAGACAGTAGTGATGCAACTAAATCAGAAAATAAGAGCACAGAAAGTGATTTATCATTAGAGAATAAAAAGGAAGATGAGGAAATGGTTACTTCAAGTACTGTCCCTAAATCACAAACACATATTTCAGACAAAGAATTGGAAAATTCAACAAATACAGAGCCAAAAATCATAACATTGAAAACAGGTCATTTAAAAGTTCGGATAAAGCGGTAAACAATTCTGATCATTACTCTATTCCAATAAACACGACTGAGAAAGAACTACCAAACAATAAAGTCTTGCAATCTGAAAATATTTTAGAAAACCACCATTCAAGTATAGACAATAGTGATGCAACTAAATCAGAAAATAAGAGCACAGAAAGTGATTTATCATTAGAGAATAAAAAGGAAGATGAGGAAATGGTTACTTCAAGTACTGTCCCTAAATTACAAACAAATATGTCAAACAAAGAATTGGAAAATTCAACAAATACAGAGCCAAGAAATCATAACATTGAAAACAGGTCATTTAAAAATTCGGATAAAGCGGTAAACAATTCTGATCATTACTCTATTCCAATAAACACGACTGAGAAAGACCTACCAAACAATAAAGTCATGCAATCTGAAAATATTTTAGAAAACCACCATTCAAGTATAGACAATAGTGATGCAACTAAATCAGAAAATAAGAGCACAGAAAGTGATTTATCATTAGAGAATGAAAAGGAAGATGAGGAAATGGTTACTTCAAGTACTGACCCTAAATTACAAACAAATATGTCAAACAAAGAATTGGAAAATTCAACAAATACAGAGCCAAGAAATCATAACATTGAAAACAGGTCATTTAAAAATTCGGATAAAGCGGTAAACAATTCTGATCATTACTCTATTCCAATAAACACGACTGAGAAAGAACTACCAAACAATAAAGTCATGCAATCTGAAAATATTTTAGAAAACCACCATTCAAGTATAGACAGTAGTGATGCAACTAAATCAGAAAATAAGAGCACAGAAAGTGATTTATCATTAGAGAATAAAAAGGAAGATGAGGAAATGGTTACTTCAAGTACTGTCCCTAAATCACAAACACATATTTCAGACAAAGAATTGGAAAATTCAACAAATACAGACCAAAAATCAATAACATTGAAAACAGGTCATTTAAAAGTTCGGATAAAGCGGTAAACAATTCTGATCATTACTCTATTCCAATAAACACGACTGAGAAAGAACTACCAAACAATAAAGTCATGCAATCTGAAAATATTTTAGAAAACCACCATTCAAGTATAGACAATAGTGATGCAACTAAATCAGAAAATAAGAGCACAGAAAGTGATTTATCATTAGAGAATAAAAAGGAAGATGAGAAAATGGTTACTTCAAGTACTGACCCTAAATTACAAACAAATATGTCAAACAAAGAATTGGAAAATTCAACAAATACAGAGCCAAGAAATCATAACATTGAAAACAGGTCATTTAAAAATTCGGATAAAGCGGTAAACAATTCTGATCATTACTCTATTCCAATAAACACGACTGAGAAAGAACTACCAAACAATAAAGTCATGCAATCTGAAAATATTTTAGAAAACCACCATTCAAGTATAGACAATAGTGATGCAACTAAATCAGAAAATAAGAGCACAGAAAGTGATTTATCATTAGAGAATAAAAAGGAAGATGAGAAAATGGTTACTTCAAGTACTGACCCTAAATTACAAACAAATATGTCAAACAAAGAATTGGAAAATTCAACAAATACAGAGCCAAGAAATCATAACATTGAAAACAGGTCATTTAAAAATTCGGATAAAGCGGTAAACAATTCTGATCATTACTCTATTCCAATAAACACGACTGAGAAAGAACTACCAAACAATAAAGTCGTGCAATCTGAAAATATTTTAGAAAACCACCATTCAAGTATAGACAATAGTGATGCAACTAAATCAGAAAATAAGAGCACAGAAAGTGATTTATCATTAGAGAATAAAAAGGAAGATGAGAAAATGGTTACTTCAAGTACTGACCCTAAATTACAAACAAATATGTCAAACAAAGAATTGGAAAATTCAACAAATACAGAGCCAAGAAATCATAACATTGAAAACAGGTCATTTAAAAATTCGGATAAAGCGGTAAACAATTCTGATCATTACTCTATTCCAATAAACACGACTGAGAAAGAACTACCAAACAATAAAGTCATGCAATCTGAAAATATTTTAGAAAACCACCATTCAAGTATAGACAGTAGTGATGCAACTAAATCAGAAAATAAGAGCACAGAAAGTGATTTATCATTAGAGAATAAAAAGGAAGATGAGGAAATGGTTACTTCAAGTACTGTCCCTAAATCACAAACACATATTTCAGACAAAGAATTGGAAAATACAACAAATACAGATCCAAAACTCATAACATTGAAAACAGGTCATTTAAAAGTTCGGATAAAGCGGTAAACAATTCTGATCATTACTCTATTCCAATAAACACGACTGAGAAAGAACTACCAAACAATAAAGTCTTGCAATCTGAAAATATTTTAGAAAACCACCATTCAAGTATAGACAATAGTGATGCAACTAAATCAGAAAATAAGAGCACAGAAAGTGATTTATCATTAGAGAATAAAAAGGAAGATGAGAAAATGGTTACTTCAAGTACTGACCCTAAATTACAAACAAATATGTCAAACAAAGAATTGGAAAATTCAACAAATACAGAGCCAAGAAATCATAACATTGAAAACAGGTCATTTAAAAATTCGGATAAAGCGGTAAACAATTCTGATCATTACTCTATTCCAATAAACACGACTGAGAAAGACCTACCAAACAATAAAGTCGTGCAATCTGAAAATATTTTAGAAAACCACCATTCAAGTATAGACAATAGTGATGCAACTAAATCAGAAAATAAGAGCACAGAAAGTGATTTATCATTAGAGAATAAAAAGGAAGATGAGGAAATGGTTACTTCAAGTACTGACCCTAAATTACAAACAAATATGTCAAACAAAGAATTGGAAAATTCAACAAATACAGAGCCAAGAAATCATAACATTGAAAACAGGTCATTTAAAAGTTCGGATAAAGCGGTAAACAATTCTGATCATTACTCTATTCCAATAAACACGACTGAGAAAGAACTACCAAACAATAAAGTCATGCAATCTGAAAATATTTTAGAAAACCACCATTCAAGTATAGACAGTAGTGATGCAACTAAATCAGAAAATATGAGCACAGAAAGTGATTTATCATTAGAGAATAAAAAGGAAGATGAGGAAATGGTTACTTCAAGTACTGTCCCTAAATCACAAACACATATTTCAAACAAAGAATTGGAAAATTCAACAAATACAGAGCCAAGAAATCATAACATTGAAAACAGGTCATTTAAAAGTTCGGATAAAGCGGTAAACAATTCTGATCATTACTCTATTCCAATAAACACGACTGAGAAAGAACTACCAAACAATAAAGTCTTGCAATCTGAAAATATTTTAGAAAACCACCATTCAAGTATAGACAATAGTGATGCAACTAAATCAGAAAATAAGAGCACAGAAAGTGATTTATCATTAGAGAATAAAAAGGAAGATGAGAAAATGGTTACTTCAAGTACTGACCCTAAATTACAAACAAATATGTCAAACAAAGAATTGGAAAATTCAACAAATACAGAGCCAAGAAATCATAACATTGAAAACAGGTCATTTAAAAATTCGGATAAAGCGGTAAACAATTCTGATCATTACTCTATTCCAATAAACACGACTGAGAAAGACCTACCAAACAATAAAGTCTTGCAATCTGAAAATATTTTAGAAAACCACCATTCAAGTATAGACAATAGTGATGCAACTAAATCAGAAAATAAGAGCACAGAAAGTGAACTATCATTAGAGAATGTAAAGGAAGATGAGGAAATGGTTACTTCAAGTACTGACCCTAAATTACAAACAAATATGTCAAACAAAGAATTGGAAAATTCAACAAATACAGAGCCAAGAAATCATAACATTGAAAACAGGTCATTTAAAAGTTCGGATAAAGCGGTAAACAATTCTGATCATTACTCTATTCCAATAAACACGACTGAGAAAGAACTACCAAACAATAAAGTCATGCAATCTGAAAATATTTTAGAAAACCACCATTCAAGTATAGACAGTAGTGATGCAACTAAATCAGAAAATAAGAGCACAGAAAGTGATTTATCATTAGAGAATAAAAAGGAAGATGAGGAAATGGTTACTTCAAGTACTGTCCCTAAATCACAAACACATATTTCAGAGAAAGAAGTTAGAAATTCAACAAATACAGATCCAAAAACTCAAAACATTGAAAACAGGTCATTTAAAAGTTCGGATAAAGCGGTAAACAATTCTGATCATTACTCTATTCCAATAAACACGACTGAGAAAGAACTACCAAACAATAAAGTCTTGCAATCTGAAAATATTTTAGAAAACCACCATTCAAGTATAGACAATAGTGATGCAACTAAATCAGAAAATAAGAGCACAGAAAGTGATTTATCATTAGAGAATAAAAAGGAAGATGAGAAAATGGTTACTTCAAGTACTGACCCTAAATTACAAACAAATATGTCAAACAAAGAATTGGAAAATTCAACAAATACAGAGCCAAGAAATCATAACATTGAAAACAGGTCATTTAAAAATTCGGATAAAGCGGTAAACAATTCTGATCATTACTCTATTCCAATAAACACGACTGAGAAAGACCTACCAAACAATAAAGTCATGCAATCTGAAAATATTTTAGAAAACCACCATTCAAGTATAGACAATAGTGATGCAACTAAATCAGAAAATAAGAGCACAGAAAGTGAATTATCATTAGAAAATGAAAGGAAGGTGAGGAAATGGTTACTTCAAGTACTGACCCTAAATTACAAACAAATATGTCAAACAAAGAATTGGAAAATTCAACAAATACAGAGCCAAGAAATCATAACATTGAAAACAGGTCATTTAAAAGTTCGGATAAAGCGGTAAACAATTCTGATCATTACTCTATTCCAATAAACACGACTGAGAAAGAACTACCAAACAATAAAGTCATGCAATCTGAAAATATTTTAGAAAACCACCATTCAAGTATAGACAGTAGTGATGCAACTAAATCTGAAAATATGAGCACAGAAAGTGATTTATCATTAGAGAATAAAAAGGAAGATGAGGAAATGGTTACTTCAAGTACTGTCCCTAAACCACAAACACATATTTCAGAGAAAGAAGTTAGGAGTACATCAAATACTGGATCAAAAACTCAAAACATTGAAAACAGATCATTTAAAAGTTCGGATAAAGCGGTAAACAATTCTGATCATTACTCTATTCCAATAAGCACGATTGAGAAAGAACTACTAATCAATAAAGTCATGCAATCTGAAAATATTTTAGAAAACCACCATTCAAGTATAGACAATAGTGATGCAACTAAATCAGAAAATAAGAGCACAGAAAGTGATTTATCATTAGAGAATAAAAAGGAAGATGAGAAAATGGTTACTTCAAGTACTGACCCTAAATTACAAACAAATATGTCAAACAAAGAATTGGAAAATCCAACAAATACAGAGCCAAGAAATCATAACATTGAAAACAGGTCATTTAAAAATTCGGATAAAGCGGTAAAAAATTCTGATCATTACTCTATTCCAATAAACACGACTGAGAAAGAACTACCAAACAATAAAGTCTTACAATCTGAAAATATTGAACAAAACAACCAATCAAGTGTTGACAATAGGGATGCAAGTAAATCAGAAAGGAAGAACAGAGAAAGTGAAATACCTTAAGTAAAGGTTTAAGTAAACATGAAAATAAAACCATGAAAAGAAGTTTGTTATTTGAAAATAACAATATAGATAATGAAACAAATACTACGCTTACTGACATTGATTCCCCAAAAATCAGTTCAGAAGAAGAAAATCTCTCTAGCATTACACCACAGCACGAGCAGCAACCAGAAAATTTAGATCGTACATTAGTTCTTTACCAAGATAGACCAAATCAATTTCTTGCACCTATGAAGACTGTTGATAAAGATTTACCAAGGCATACGGGCTTGCACTCTAATAATATTGACAATATTGTAGATCCAGTACCTCTGAGCAAAGATTTAAGCGAACATGAAAATGAAACCAAGAAAAGAAGTTTATTATTTGAAAATAATAATATAGATAATGAAACAAATACTACGCTTACTGACATTGATTCCCCAAAAATCAGTTCAGAAGAAGAAAATCTCTCTACCATTACACCACAGCACGAGCAGCACCCAGAAAATTTAGATCGTACATTAGTTCTTTACCAAGATAGACCAAATCAATTTCTTGCACCTATGAAGACTGTTGATAAAGATTTGCCAAGCCTTACGGGTTCGCTCTCTAAAAATATTAACAATAATGTTAACAAAGAAGATAAACTATCGACAAATTCACCACAGCACGCAGAAAATTTAGATCGTACATTAGTTCTTTACCAAGATAGACCAAATCAATTTCTTGCACCTATGAAGACTGTTGATAAAGATTTACCAAGGCATACGGGCTTGCACTCTAATAATATTGACAATATTGTAGATCCAGTACCTCTGAGTAAAGATTTAAGCGAACATGAAAATGAAACCAAGAAAAGAAGTTTATTATTTGAAAATAATAATATAGATAATGAAACAAATACTACGCTTACTGACATTGATTCCCCAAAAATCAGTTCAGAAGAAGAAAATCTCTCTACCATTACACCACAGCACGAGCAGCACCCAGAAAATTTAGATCGTACATTAGTTCTTTACCAAGATAGACCAAATCAATTTCTTGCACCTATGAAGACTGTTGAAAAAGATTTGCCAAGCCTTACGGGTTCGCTCTCTAAAAGTATTAGCAATAATGTTAACAAAGAAGATAAACTATCGACAAATTCACCACAGCACGAGCAGCAACCAGAAAATTTAGATCGTACATTAGTTCTTTACCAAGATAGACCAAATCAATTTCTTGCACCTATGAAGACTGTTGATAAAGATTTGCCAAGCCTTACGGGTTCGCTCTCTAAAAATATTAGCAATAATGTTAACAAAGAAGATAAACTATCGACAAATTCACCACAGCACGAGCAGCACCCAGAAAATTTAGATCGTACATTAGTTCTTTACCAAGATAGACCAAATCAATTTCTTGCACCTATGAAGACTGTTGATAAAGATTTACCAAGGCATACGGGCTTGCACTCTAATAATATTGACAGTATTGTAGATCCAGTACCTCTGAGCAAAGATTTAAGCGAACATGAAAATGAAACCAAGAAAAGAAGTTTATTATTTGAAAATAATAATATAGATAATGAAACAAATACTACGCTTACTGACATTGATTCCCCAAAAATCAGTTCAGAAGAAGAAAATCTCTCTACCATTACACCACAGCACGAGCAGCACCCAGAAAATTTAGATCGTACATTAGTTCTTTACCAAGATAGACCAAATCAATTTCTTGCACCTATGAAGTCTGTTGAAAAAGATTTGCCAAGCCTTACGGGTTCGCTCTCTAAAAGTATTAGCAATAATGTTAACAAAGAAGATAAACTATCGACAAATTCACCACAGCACGAGCAGCAACCAGAAAATTTAGATCGTACATTAGTTCTTTACCAAGATAGACCAAATCAATTTCTTGCACCTATGAAGACTGTTGATAAAGATTTGCCAAGCCTTACGGGTTCGCTCTCTAAAAATATTAGCAATAATGTTAACAAAGAAGATAAACTATCGACAAATTCACCACAGCACGAGCAGCACCCAGAAAATTTAGATCGTACATTAGTTCTTTACCAAGATAGACCAAATCAATTTCTTGCACCTATGAAGACTGTTGATAAAGATTTACCAAGGCATACGGGCTTGCACTCTAATAATATTGACAGTATTGTAGATCCAGTACCTCTGAGCAAAGATTTAAGCGAACATGAAAATGAAACCAAGAAAAGAAGTTTATTATTTGAAAATAATAATATAGATAATGAAACAAATACTACGCTTACTGACATTGATTCCCCAAAAATCAGTTCAGAAGAAGAAAATCTCTCTACCATTACACCACAGCACGAGCAGCACCCAGAAAATTTAGATCGTACATTAGTTCTTTACCAAGATAGACCAAATCAATTTCTTGCACCTATGAAGACTGTTGATAAAGATTTACCAAGGCATACGGGCTTGCACTCTAATAATATTGACAATATTGTAGATCCAGTACCTCTGAGTAAAGATTTAAGCGAACATGAATATGAAACCAAGAAAAGAAGTTTATTATTTGAAAATAATAATATAGATAATGAAACAAATACTACGCTTACTGACATTGATTCCCCAAAAATCAGTTCAGAAGAAGAAAATCTCTCTACCATTACACCACAGCACGAGCAGCACCCAGAAAATTTAGATCGTACATTAGTTCTTTACCAAGATAGACCAAATCAATTTCTTGCACCTATGAAGACTGTTGATAAAGATTTACCAAGGCATACGGGCTTGCACTCTAATTTTATTGACAATATTGTAGATCCAGTACCTCTGAGTAAAGATTTAAGCGAACATGAAAATGAAACCAAGAAAAGAAGTTTATTATTTGAAAATAATAATATAGATAATGAAACAAATACTACGCTTACTGACATTAATTCCCCAAAAAACAGTTTAGAAGAAGAAAATCTCTCTACCATTACACCACAGCACGAGCAGCACCAGAAAATTTAGATCGTACATTAGTTCTTTACCAAGATAGACCAAATCAATTTCTTGCACCCATGAAGACTGTTGATAAAGATTTGCCAAGCCTTACGGGTTCGCTCTCTAAAAATATTAACAATAATGTTAACAAAGAAGATAAACTATCGACAAATTCACCACAGCACGCAGAAAATTTAGATCGTACATTAGTTCTTTACCAAGATAGACCAAATCAATTTCTTGCACCTATGAAGACTGTTGATAAAGATTTACCAAGGCATACGGGCTTGCACTCTAATAATATTGACAATATTGTAGATCCAGTACCTCTGAGTAAAGATTTAAGCGAACATGAAAATGAAACCAAGAAAAGAAGTTTATTATTTGAAAATAATAATATAGATAATGAAACAAATACTACGCTTACTGACATTGATTCCCCAAAAAACAGTTCAGAAGAAGAAAATCTCTCTACCATTACACCACAGCACGAGCAGCACGCAGAAAATTTAGATCGTACATTAGTTCTTTACCAAGATAGACCAAATCAATTTCTTGCACCTATGAAGACTGTTGATAAAGATTTGCCAAGCCTTACGGGTTCGCTCTCTAAAAATATTAACAATAATGTTAACAAAGAAGATAAACTATCGACAAATTCACCACAGCACGCAGAAAATTTAGATCGTACATTAGTTCTTTACCAAGATAGACCAAATCAATTTCTTGCACCTATGAAGACTGTTGATAAAGATTTACCAAGGCATACGGGCTTGCACTCTAATAATATTGACAGTATTGTAGATCCAGTACCTCTGAGCAAAGATTTAAGCGAACATGAAAATGAAACCAAGAAAAGAAGTTTATTATTTGAAAATAATAATATAGATAATGAAACAAATACTACGCTTACTGACATTGATTCCCCAAAAATCAGTTCAGAAGAAGAAAATCTCTCTACCATTACACCACAGCACGAGCAGCACCCAGAAAATTTAGATCGTACATTAGTTCTTTACCAAGATAGACCAAATCAATTTCTTGCACCTATGAAGACTGTTGATAAAGATTTACCAAGGCATACGGGCTTGGATTCTAAAAATATTAGCAATAATGTAGATCCAGTACCTGAACCAGAAACATCGAAATTGGCAATAGATATTCCAAAAGAATCAAATCTACCAAAAGTCGTGGATCATATTCTAGATCAATTGACAAATAAATCAGAGACCAATCCTAGAGATACATACATCCCCTTAAGTCCACATACATTACACACGATCCCTGATAAGCAGAAAGTTGGACGAACCTCGTTTGGGTCGTACAGCGATAAATTAATTGAAGGTATTCCCTCATATATTTATAGGTCTAGCAAAGCTCCTAAAATGACAACAGCGTCAACAGAAAAAATTGAAAATCAAAATCAAAATCAAGGAATTTTAAAACCCGAAAATATAAATTTGGACATCAATATAAAAGAGAGAAAAAGCGGCGCTGTACAATTTGCCGATCCAGTAACGAATGTAATAGAAACGAAAGAGGAACAAAATGATAAAGAAAATAAACTCCAGAAAATGAAACCCTGTTTAATTACAGGCAAAGCTCAAAAGGATAACAATGAAAGATCACCAAATGTGAAAAGTATGTCAAATAACAAAAATTCCGATATCCCCAAAGTAGACCAGCCAACCATCTTAGACGGCCTCTACTCAAAGTATCGAAGAAAATTTAGTCGAAAACCAAGATCTATAGTCGCAGAATACCATGCAGACGCTCCTTTAATTAATGGAAGGGAAAATAAAGACAATTTAGAAAAAATGAATTTGGAAAAATCTAAAATATCCGACGCGGAAAAACAACCAAAACTAATTGATGGACCAAAAGAAATCCAAACATCGCTAGGCGAGTCTGGTAGTGCACAGGAACAGTTGAAACCTACAGAAAAAATACACAAATCATCGGCAAGTGAAAAAATAAAATCATACTTGAAGCCTTTCGTTGACGGAAACGATAGTTTCTCAAAAAGTCTTAGTTACTTGGAAAGCCTTCAAAATACGTTTAAACTACATGGTTGAAAGCAATCGAAGAAACATGACAATCGAAGTTAAGTGTCCAATAATAAATAATATATATGTATTTTTTTTAAGTAAATAAATAAAATAATAATTGTATATGTTTGATATCCGATCGTTAAGTAAAATGTTGATATTTACTTCCAATGTTTGTAAACACTGTGCAAAATACCTAATAGGTATTTATTTCCATTATACATCACTGAATTTCTCGACAAAAAAAATTCACTTATCACACATTATGACGTGACGTATTTCAATGTATTTTACCATTTAATAGTATTTAATTAGTACCATTATGAATAAACGATGTACTTAATGTGTTTATTATTGTTTTAACTTAAAAATAAATACACTGTTTTAAATATATTATGATAGTGTGTACCCCGCATTAAAATATTTAATTGATACAAAATATATATTTGTTTAAACAATCTAAATAGATAAGCACAGCGCAACATGTGCTGTTAACGTGAATTACAAATTGATAATTTAATTTATTGATTTTAATGTTATAATATGTTTGTAGTCTCTTAGATTTACTATAACTTTTTTACCCGACGTTTCAGTGTGTTGTTGGAAATAATAGTACCTGTGTAAATATGCACAGTGGTCAATGGTCCAAAGTGTACTTAGGGGTTGCAATCCATGGTTGCGCTGTTGTTGTCTATAGGAATAAGATGAATGTAGCAAATTGCTTTAAATCACCATACGAACCATTCTCGTTTGCAGTTTCTCCCACTGTATAATATTGCTGTCACTTTTTTTAAACCTGAATGTTTTGAGTCAAATTTCAGATTATAATACGTATGATCGTATATGTATACTAAATTGTGCTTACACAAGTAGCTTATGTATTCGAAAATACATAGTATATTCTATAATGAACAACATATTGTGCTGTTTAGTTTACGAAACAATTACAGCTTTAAGTTGCAAACATCCATATTCGTGTTGCACTTTGTTCTTGATATGAAAAAAAAAAATTAACAAATCGCGCAACTTTGAAATTATTCAATAACATAATATCTGCAAAACTTACAAAAGTCTGATTTTTCTTTATCAAAAAAAAAATAATACATCAACATTGCTATACAGCTACTATATTATTTAGAACGTCAAAAAGTGTAAGTCTTCTTCTAGTTGGAAATGATGTATCTACCTACTGTAGGATCGGTGTAGCCACTATCTTATAGTGTGTCACACCTAAAGGTGAGCCACTAAAAAAAATGATTACACAAATTCAAGAAAAAACAGAATTATTGCAACGTTCCCAAACTTTCTTAGACAGTAGACACGGCATTAAAAATGTATTTAACAATAATTTTCCTATTGAGGTTCAAGCAGGGAGGAATCCACTCATTGAGCAATTCTATTGCAGATCAAAAAGTGTCTGGCTTAGCTTAGCATATTTTAGCGCAAATTCAAAATTGCTAAATTCTATAAATATATTAAAGAGTTAAGTAATAAATACTCGTCTTTAACACATTGTTTAGGCTATTTTTCTTTAGTTGTAATGTGTTTAGCCACTCAGTCCATGCTTACCAGATTTCTTTTCATTTTTACGGTGGTTACTCATTAAAAAAAAATTTTAAAACCGTCGAAGAGAACCTTTGACCGCCGAATGAATACATTTTCGGCCAGCTACGAACTAATAATCATATAATGCGCTTGTTTACAGAAAATTATAATAATTGGATGTGATTAATGTGGTAAATTTATCTATTATGAAATTTGCATACGAAATATGCAAAATTGCGTTGACCTTGTTGAAATTATTTTCCAATTTGTTCCGTGACGTATGATCATGGTGATTACCTGTTAATTGTCAGTAACTTATTTTAATTGGTAGTCTTCGAAACCAAACAACGCAGCAAACGGTTGTTATTGTTTTTTTCCCTGTGACTTTGTAAATACAATAAAGCAGTGATGTTAACAACTCTAGTTGGACTCGACTTGAAGTACAATGTTGACGTGCGTCAGAATATAATATACAACCCCAGATAAGGGGAAAACAGAGTTCAATAATTCATGTTAATTGCTTTTGTAATAAATGAAAGGTAAATACACGCTACAATAGGTTGAAAAATATTATATAATAATTACGTTTTAATTATCTTTCCGACGTTTGAAACGGATATTTTATATACATTGTCATCTTGTCGTACTCAGGAAGGTGTACTTTACATATTATACTGTATCACACATTATATTATAATTTAATGATAGTATTGTTATCAAACTAGGAGAGTTTATTTGTATTATGGCACTTTGCATATATAAAATATGTCCCGTGATAACAATATTGATAATCTTTAGAAAAATAATAAAATCGGTCGTACACGTATCTGCGATCCGGTTGGTCACGCGGTATTCAATGTGACCATTAGTTGATGCTTAATTTAATATATGAACAAAATCACAACTGATCCTATTTTGTGCGATAACTTGTTACTATAGATAATTATAATAATACTGTAAAATATAAGGTGGGAGTAACCTTAAGTCATGTAAATAGTGTAAATATAATACCCCACTCAAGCTTCAATCATTTTTTTAGTATAAGGTTATTTTTTTCGCAATATAACGTTTATTATTGTTTTTTATCATCTATACTGACCAACTATAAAATGCAATGTGTGATAAAATCAAATTTCATAGCTGTCCGGTGACCGATGCACTAGGTATAAGTATAATATCAGTAATAATAGATGATAAAAAAAAAAAAAGGTAATATAAGGGCGGATATAGGATTTATAAGGTAATAATTGTGTAAAAAAACCTATAGCAAATGTTTTAATACTCAGTAGATACAAGAGAATATGTAGCCAGTAGCTCGACGTCTAACCTTTAAAGTCAAAACCTTGAACCAAATGTTAACAATTGAAAAGGTTGAATTTTTACGAGCTGATTAATTTTAACAGGAAGACAAGTTTTTAACAAGGAAATAAAGTTCAGCTGCTTAGTGTTATAATCTTAAGACATGTGATTTACAGACATACAATATGAACACACACATTTTATTGCCTTAACAATTGCCTATACGTTTACATCACATTTAAATAAACGTGCGAAATAACTGTGCAGTTAGCGCCGTATCTCTAATAGTAGAAAATATAATCTGGAAAAAATATATGACTTTTCAATGTGCCAAACATGTGACCTAAAGTTGGTAAGTCTAATTTTTTTTAAACGAAAATTAAGAAATATCTGCCGGTTTAATTGCTGAAAACGAATATAGGTTTTTTTTTCTATTCAACTTATTGTGTTTTGATTATTTAAATATTCTTCAAAACTCAGATGTAAAAAATTCATACAAATTTAAAAGCCATATTCCATATTATTGTTTTGTTACATTGCAAAAACAATCAAAAATTGTTTTTCAAGATTACTCAATGCGTTTTAATATGTTGTAAAAATAACTGTTATTTCATTTGTAACTCATTACTCATTAAAACCATAATAGTCACGAAAAGATAATCGTTACATTAATATCAATTACATACTATATATTATTTAGCGTTTCAAATAAAAATGTTATAATTAAAACAACATATTGTTTAAATCGAATGCTGAACATATCTATTACATATCGTATATTCGTACGATATAAGTATACATAATGTAAGGTTCGAAACAAAAATTAACCATAAAAACCATTATAGCAGATAACCTATACATTAAAATAATTAAAACGGCGTTTTAAAATTAATTTACAGGTTAACAAATTTGGAACGAAGCTTAAAAATAGCCTTTAAGAAAAAGGTCAGATTTGAACAAATATATGTAATTATCACATTATACGTACTCGTATAAATATATATTTAAATTCATAATTCAATTTTCTCGCCGTTTTTCGTACCTACTGTTGTTTATTTTACACGTGAAGACCACTAGGCGAAAACTATGAAACAAACTTAACGCGGTGGTCGAACGTGAGTTAAGGTTGGCAACACCTCCCCAAGACATTGTAATGTTACATTAATTCATACCTTCGTCAAATTATAGAACATAAATAACGTTTACATAGAAAAAAATTGTACCAAAAATAATAGAATTGGACGAAATTTTTATTAAAGCAACTCTTTTTTTGGAGATAACCAAAAAAAATATGTATTTGTATAATATAAAACTGTAACACAATAAAGTGTTATATGAACTTAGAAATTTAAATTCAATTTAAGAACCTTTAATTAGAATCGCCCAAAGACATAGTGATTAAAGCCTACATAAAAAAATGTCTAACACATTTAAACCGTTTATTTACAATTCCCTGGTCTGATCTTTCAAAAATATTTTAACTTTAATTAAGTTAGAATAGACAAATAATTCTTGTGCTTATAGAATGATGTGCGTGTAACATTCGAATGTTGATACATGTATTCTGGTGTGGTGATGAATGATGATTTTTCTATACATTGAAGTGAGATAATTTTTGTTGGCTTTGAATAATAATATGCACTTTGGATATTTTGGTCGATTTACTTGTTTACCTTACTTAGTTAGGGTCTCTTCATCAGGTAGTCGTGCAATGATCAGGAATATTGACTGAATAATTATTGATATTATAACTCTGACGAAGATGTTGGAAAATATATTTATTTCTGTTTTTCTTTTGTTGTTGTTCATAATATAATAAATATTAAAATTAAAGCGAAATTACAATATTATTTAAAACACTTTATTGTAGTGTTTTAAATAATATGTTAACCATTTAAACTGCGTGCAGTGTGCATCCTACAAATTAAAAACCAACCAAGTGTACATGCCGATTCCACCACTTTGCAACACCGCTGGTGTAAATCATTTAAATAAAAATTTATAATAAACACATATTCAAACGATTTATGATTTTCGCATAGAACAATGCGTAAAACAGTAGGTACAACGTTGTAAAACATTTTTTTTTTAATGAGCCTAGTATTAAAAAGTACTCAGGGCACTCAGGGTTACATTTCATGGCGTTCTATTGTCGCGTGTTTACATTGTACGGACTAAATGAT